TCGGGGTGGCCCAGCCCGGGGTTGGGGTGCAGGGCGATGAAAGGCACCTCCTGCGTGCCCAGCCCCGGGAAGGAGCCTCCGTCGCGTTGCCGCAGTTGCTGCTCCAGGCTCCGGATGCGGCTCAGGTGTGTCTCCACCAGCGCTCGCTGCACGGGGAGGGGAGAGGGCTGAGCTCTGCAGCTCCTGCTCGAGGTTCAGTCTGTCCCCCACCCGAGCTAGGTTACATTCTGCCCCCACCCAACAGATCCCATTTTGGAAGTCTCCATGGAGTTGGTGGGAGTGCCATTCCAACCCAGAGGAGGGTAGAAAACTAACTGGCAGAGCATCATTTGGGATGGGGAAAGGGAGCAAGGAATGCCTGGCCAAGCCAGGAGAGAAACAGGCACCATGCTGGAATTGGGAGCATCCCTTGGCAGGGCAAAAGTGAGAAGAGCCAAGGATGATGCTGAGCCACGTGCAGCCCCCAACGTGGAAAATCATCGATGAGCAGCACCTCAGCCTCAGATCTCCTGAGATGGAAAGGGGAAGGGAGCCCCAATGCCCAGCACCTGGGATCCAGGACCTGGGATCCTGCACCCCAAAAATCACTTGATATACCCAATGTCCCCAGGCACCAGTTGCCAGCACCCACCATCTCTCCCAGCTCAGTCTCCAGGTCAGCCTTCTCCACACACAGCTTCTCATACGCCTGGATCATCTCCTCCAGCTGCTCCTCACGCTCTTTGCTCTTCTGCAGCTGCCAGGGAAGGAGGTGAGGGGTGAGTGAGCAGCTTGGGGACCCCTCACACCCTCCATCCCCACTGCTCCCACTCACCTCGTGCTGGAACTGGTTGAGCTGCTGCTGCAGAGATGCCTTCTCACTCTTGAGCAGCGACGTCTCCTTGGCCTCATAGAGGGAGAAGATGTGCTCCTCGCCGAACTCACCGATCAGTGGGTACTGTGGCCGAGGGACAGGGGGTCAGCAGGGACCCCCAGCCCCACACACAGCCCCCACAGCCCCTCCAGCCCCTCACCTTGACCTCATACATCTTGAGCCGACGCTTGAGCGTGGAGTTCTCCCTCTCCAGCCCTGTCAGTCGGTTCTTGATGTCGTCGTAGGCAGTGATGAGGGCAAAGTGGGAGGCTGAGCACATCTCACCCGAGAGGTCAGTGTTGGGGCTGTCCAGCCAGTCCTCATCTGGCCCCAGAGCCTCCTGTGTCAGGATGCTGATGTCGTCCTCGAACATGGAGTCCATGTCCTGCCTGGACAGACAGACAGACACCAGTGACCCCAGAGGAGAGATGGGCCCAACTGGGGCAGCACCAGAGCAGGCTGAGCTGTGAGGACATGGGTGGGATTCAGCCTGGGGCAGAGTGGGGTCTGTGGGAGCTCAGCGTGTCCCAGTGGGTGATGGAGAAAGGATGGTCCTGGGGGTTGTCACTGGTAGTGGCTCCAACCCCACAGTGTCCCCTGGGGTGGCAGAGGGATATCAGCCATTGGATCACCTCTGTCTCCAGCAAGAAAAGGGGAACAGGGATGAGGTGGGAAAAGAGAGCACCACTAGCCTGGGATGAGGATGGGAGCAGGGAGCATCCCTAGCCTGGGATGAGGGTGGGAGCAGAGATCACCCCCAGCAGAGCATCCCTGTGGGGACACCATGACTTTCCACATATCCCCACTGGAACAAGCACCAGGAAGAGGGGACAGGGATCCTGGCACCCTGGGATGAGGGTGGGAGTAGAGAGAACCCTCAGCCCGGGATGAGGGTGGGAGCAGAGAGCACC